GAACCTAGTCATCCTTTTATGCTAGACAAGTGCCCCTTCCATTAGACCATACACGACAGTGACTGTCGAGATTTCTAGACAGAAGTTTGATGTGCTAGTTCGAGCCAGACGGAGTTCGGGCTAGTTCTCAAATTTTCAAATACCTCTCTACAGCATCGGTGTATATGAGAAATGCATTTATGCATACTAAGCCAATATCTTCGTCTGCGCGGGTTAAGTTTTTACTAAATATGGCTTTGTGGTTATGAAAAATGGACTTCGCTATAGGTCCAATCAAAAACAATACGATTTGACTATTATACTTATCTCGCTATAGATCAAATAAATATTTGCTGAATGTCAATCTGACTTATGGTTATGAAAAATGGACTTCGCTATATATCCAAACAAAAACAATGTTATTTGACTATTGTACTGAGCTGTAGATCAAGTAAATATTTTCTGAAATTGTTTTTGACTCATAGCGAAATCCATTTTTCATAACTATGAGTCAGATTTACATTGTTCAAATATATATTTTATCTGTAGCGAGAACAATACAATAGTTTTGTTTTTGTTTGGATCTACAGCGAAGTCAATTTTTGATATTCTCACAATCCGATTGGCATTAAATATTTACTTGATCTATAACGAGATCAGTACAACAGCCATCAATTTTATGCAACTGTAAAAATTATTAGTTATTTTATAAGTTACATTTTTTTATATACATATATAAATATAAAGTATTTTAAGTTCATATATATCATGATCCATTAAAATTAAAACTTCTTCAAAACATCTTCAAAACATCTTTAAAACATATTTAAAGCGTCTTCAAAACATCTTCAAATCATCTTTACAATCATAATGTTGTATGTTTAAACAGGGTGAAGGTAAAACAGTTTCAAATTTAATTCTATTATAATTAAATTGTTTTATGAGTATCCTGATTCTTACCATATTCTTAAAATAGCAGCACTAAGGCTATCCCGTGAAATTAAAAGTTTTATTATTAACATAAAAACGTTTTATCTTATATAGGTACTTTGATAAATTTTGAAATTTTACTTGGAATGTTTGATTAGTATGCAGCAAATTGTACTTAATCTATAGCGAGATTAGTAGTAATTATTAAATATAACTGCAATGTTTCTACTTAGTGAGGTCAATTTTTCTTAGAATGTGATTGCAGTAAATCTTTACTTGATCTGTAACGCGATCCTGCCATTTTTTTTTTATTTATCTTGATGTATTTTTTTAGCAAAATTTAAATTAAATATTATCACAAATCTTACGCTGATGAGGTAAAAATACGAAGTAATTAGTAGCTATGTGCCGTCGAGCGATTTAAAATTGCAAAGCGCTTCAGGTCAATTTTAATGAATTTATTTTGATTGACAATAAGCACTGATGAATTTTAAATAAATGTTGCACGAAGGTTTTCATTGCTAATTAAATATTTTATAGTCAACTGTAAACTTATGAAACTCCGCCAAACAATCCCGTATAAAATGTACCCACTGACCGTGAATACTCGCCTTCCAATTAAGAGATAACTTTCAAATACAAACATTTTGTGAGCCTGTGTAAATTGCATAATTAAATAGCACAAAATGCAATACTGGATCCAGTAACATTAGTTATAGCGAATTTAAATGTTTTTTTTTACACTTACATATATATTATATATTTTTCACCAAATACAAAATGGATAAGTGGACAATATCAGTCTACTAAACGAACATAACTTCATATCCACGCACGTTAGTATTATACCAGGTGTTTTTTAAACATGAGGCAAAAATTCAAGGGGTTGTTTCTTGGACTATTCTAAGAATATTTTGTTCTTTGATGATTTTTAAAATTCGGTTTCGTTTCGAGAAAACTATTTTTATTATTTTTAAAATTATTAATAGTCTAAATAAAAATAGGTACTACATTGTGTTAACCAAAAACATACAACTTTTTTAAAAATTCGTTATTTTTATTATTTTTTAACAACATTCCAATTACTAAAAACGGCTATTTTTTCCACTTAACAAAACGGATTTTTAAAAATCATCAAAGGACAAAATATTCTTAGAATAGTCCAAGGAACAACCCCTTGAATTTTGGCGGCATGTTTAAAAAACACCCAGTATATCAACTTGTAAGGATGATCGATCTAGATTATTTTGAGCTGTTTCAGTAAAAATTAATCATTTTATAGGAATTTGCTTGACCTATAATTACGCTAAAACTAATTACCTAATTTTCAAGATTTTGTATACGAGTAACGATGCATTAATAGTATATTATGTAACGATCATGTAATAACCATTACATGAGAGTTGCATATGCTATTTTTTCTACACCCGATAAATAATCAAGAACTATAAATATTATATTTATATTTGTATTGAACACAATATCAGTAATTACTCGTATTTCTATAAAAAAATTTACAAAATTGTAATTAATGGTATTACCTCGGGTATTGGTATTATAGATTTTTGGGGCAAAATATTTTGTACTGCATTTTCTGCTTTCTCCGATATGTGCGGAGGAGTCGATCGTAAATCTTCTATATCGCTGATATCAAACATTTTGAGAATATAATTATCGAAGTTTAGCTAAATTTAATACGTACTGATTTTAACAAGTAAAACAATTACATAGGAACCTAGGACAAATGTCAAATGTACAGCATGCTTGATTGAAAAATTATGGGTTTCTATTGATTAAAAATCTGTATCGTTATGAAAAATCTGTATTATAATGGGTATCATTATGAAACGGATTATGAGCACATAAGTGCATTATTACAATACGGGTGTAGAAAAAATATTATAAAAATGCAATACTATATGCAGATAACCTATAAATAATATACATATTTGTTTATATAAACAAATCTATGACAATTACATTCAGATATGTAAATGGCCTAGAAACATTCTACATGATGTGTTTTATTTAACGTGCATTTATGACAATATTGTTTTACTATCTGCTCAATTTTCAGAAAATGTAGTTAATCAACCTACAAGGGTAGTAGAGTGTACAAAATGATGTGATAAACTTATTGGTAATACCAGTCAAAATATTACAATATGATGACCGGCCTATCTACGGTTTAGGCAGTGCCGGTCCCTTTGGTTTAAAAATATTTTCAACAACTTTTAGAACCAGTTTTAATATTAAAACAGTGATATCACTAAAAAAATTGTTTGAGAAAAATAAAAATTTAGCATCACTATTTAAAATTAACAGACTAAAGTTGAGTTCGCCTCTGCGTCTCTGCATGCAAAACTAATGAGAGTTTAGTAATAGAGAATAAAGATGGGTAATACAAATATTTTCATGGAACTGTTGAAACGGTTATCCTGTTATTTTAGTGGTTTAAGGAAGAATTCAAAGTACAAGATAGTGAAATATTTTTAATCACTAAATTAATACTTTCCAAAAGCAAAAAAATATTTTTTTCTATTTTAAAATATGTGATGGTTAAAATTATACGCTATTAGTCAAGGTTAGGAAAAATATATTTTATTAAAATAATATTGATATTAGAAAATTATGAATTATTTTTAATCGATGTTTTTTAAAATATATACATAAAAAAACTTATTATTTAACAAATATAATATATAGGGCGGCTCAAATGAGTAACTTTGAAATATCAAAAATATTAAAAAATAGTTTTTATAAAAGTTGTTTTGTAGTTCATTTCAAATTTTATGGCGACATTGCCAACTTAATATATATATTTTTTGAGTACGTCATTAAAATACAAGAAATCGGCATGACACTAGTGACAAATACAAGTTTGCAATATATTAAAAATGTATTTGACGTATAATGTCACAAAAGCGCATTAAACAATTTTTTGAATAATTGTATCGATATACAAACATATATAAATGATGCAGTCGTTAGTTTTTAATAAAAAATACTTTATAAACCAATTTAAACATTTATTGATTTTAAAGAAGGGGGATAAAGGGGTTGAAATATTACAAAAAATCCTAACTTAAAAACGAAAAATGTTATTAACTTGAAATTTTTAGAAAAAAATCAAACTCTGTAAGGAGATGAAACCTATTAATTTTGTAAAAAATCTGATTAAAAATGAAGAAATTAAGGGGGCTTAAAATAAAAAAAAAACAAATCTAACACGAAAAGCGATATCAACATGAAACTTTTAGTAAAAATCAAGCTCTATAAGGAGATGAAACATTAATTTTGAGAAAAATCAGATTAAAAATAAGGCAACTCCCCTAACTCAAAAACGAAAAATGATATCAACTTGAAATTTTTAGCAGAAAATCAAGCTCTTTAAAATTTAACCTATTAATTAAGAAAAAATCTGAATAAAATGGGGGATTAAGGGGGTAGGTTGAAATATTTATTTATTTATATTTATTAGGGTGACGATATATAATATTTTATGACTTGTCTAAATGTTATGTTTTTTCATAAAATTCAATTTTTATAATTGTTTATTGTTAAAAAATATATTTAAAATAAAACTGGAATAAAAAATAAATATACAGAATGTGTAGAATTATTTAATAATTACGTTTTAAAGATATAAAATTCTGTATACCTACATAATGTGGTCTATGAAAATATTTCCCACATATAATATAGGATTTGGCGGCGCGTACCTATTCAAAAAGGAAAAATGAATAAAAGATTATATTTACTGTGTCTTTAACGTCGCATAAATTTTATCACCCTCTTCGTGTTACCAGTAGCTTTACGTCACATAAATTTTCGAAGCGCATCATTATACAAACACTTTCATTAGCCGAATCATATTTCGAAAGATGTTTCAGATGTTAATACAACATTTTGCGCGCGAAAAACAAGCAAAACTTTTAAAGTATCATCAAGTTTAAATTGAATTGTAATGGAATATATTTACATCTTTCGCTACTCCGGCAACCATAATAATATTGTTTCCGGTAGTTGAAAAACTTTCGAAACTTTGGAAAAAGTTTTTGGAAGTTGTTAAGTTAGGAAGTAATTCCTACCTATGGGTTTGTTTTTTGGGGGATCCTCGAGAAAAAGTTAGTTGTGGAACTGAAGGAAGCGTGGATCGCGGCGGGTCGCGGATCGCGGATAGTGACAGTTTGGCTAGCTGGCGCGAAAGCGTAAAAACGGAAGCACGTTTTATAGACGGAGGAGACAACGTGACTAGATGTCCCACTACGATTACCACGGGAAAGAAACTGGCCATAGACTGGAAGTGGAAGACCGACCATCACCTCGTGCCGCTTAGAGCCGCGTGCCGTCGGCTTCGAAGGGCCGCGATCGCCGCCGAATCGGTCTTCGAGCCTGTGGGAGCGGCGTTTCACCACGCCCCCAAACACTGAAACAAATGCGATGAGGAGCGAAGTAACTGTTGCTCTTGCAGGGCCAGAGCCTGAGGGATGCTCCCTCACGGAAATCTGCACAGGAATGCAATTTCATCAAAGCACACAACGCTCGCTGTGTGTTGTATTCTCAGTCCAGATCACAAGGCTCGGCCACACGGAAAACAAAGTTATAAGTCTCGGTTACAGTTTCATTACACTCAGTCTCAACTGGCACACGTATCGAACATCCAACCCACGGCTCATACTCTCCTATGTATCCCAACTGAACAGAAATTACTACTGCTAAAACCACTCAAATACAGGATGAAACCTAAAGTTGATACTTTTTTTAACTATGTATAGAAGTCATTTCAAAAAAACTAAAAAATAAGAAACATTAATTTATTCCAAAACGTATCAAATAAAATCCTATTCAACTTGTTTAAAGTAATCACCCTTCACTTAATCGCACTCCACGATGTTCCCGCAAAGTACCTCCCTAGCCCGTTGAGCCAAATTCACTGTACAACACCGATGCAGCGACTGAATAACAATAACGTACAATTGCTGCGTGATTCATGAGAAATACTGAAAAAAAAAAAAAACTTTTCATACACAAGTCCAATCCCGGATTTAGATTTTTTAATTATGTATCTTACTTATTTTTGAATTTTTTGAAAAAGTTATTTGAAAAAGGTTTATTTTAACTTCTACATACAATTTAAAAAAGTATCTCAGATTCAGCCTGTATATCCTTTAAAAAAATATTTTTCCTCAAAAATCTAATCTGTGTGAACTTAGCGACCAATTTTTAGCGATTAATTTTCTGAAAATTTAATATGAATCAGATATCTCCACTCCTAGACATAGAAACATATTTTTTTTCTAGCATAAGTTAGGTACAAATACCGCTTTAGCATGTCTAAAAGAGAACGACTTGCAAGATCAAACAGGGTGTTTGTCAAACCCAAAGCGAATTTTCCGACTATTTAATATGAATCAAATAACTCCGCTCCTATCGATTTGTTGTTATTTTCTTTAAACTTCCATATCCACGCTATTCTTGAAGTTAGCTCAACAAACCTATAGTGATTCGGAATATACTCAATGAGATCTTTAGAATAGTATATTATACGATATTGTTCAAATATAATTAATCGAAATGGTTCGAGAAAATTTTAATTTATTTCAAAAACCAATTCCCGGTTCACCGAATACAGAGGCGATATGCATTCTGCACAAAAAGGGGACTTAGTACGTCCATGTCCATTATTAGTAAAGGCAGAATGGGTTTTTGGCTCTAATTTAGGCTAATTTTTACCTCAGAATCAAATAACTTAGAAATTCAATATTTAAAGTATATTTAGACAACCGTTTGAACTATAAACTTGCAGTTTTCTAGTTGAATTCTACATATTGAGCTAGCAATTCTCTGGATAGGAAGTCATATACAGGTTTTTATTTAATTTTTTCGAATTTACATGTGTCTTGGGAGAGCACTGAGGCCAAATATATGGCCTTAGCAGAAGAGCTAAGGATGTCATATAGTTTCGAAACCTATGAAATATAAGCAAAGGAGATAAGAGATAATTAATTAATAATTCTACATTCAAAACTGCATTTTTTACTTTGTATATTTATGTATCCCGATAGCTAAAAATTTTGACTTTTTAAAGTATTAGAAAAAAAAGGTCCACCAAATAACAAATTTCTGTAGGATTGATATACACCCTATTTGAATCTGCAAGTCGGTATTAAAGGTGGTGTTTCTACCTACCTTTTGCTATAAAATAAATAATTTTTTTATGTCTAGGAACCGAGATATTTGATTCCGACTATTTTACCTTTGATGGTCTACTAGTCTATTGATGACATGGCCCATAGTGCATATCCAAGACTCGAAATTTGATACTAATTTTAAATTAAAAGCGAATAATGCAATGCGACTAGTGTATTAAAGGATAGTTACATAGTTTTTTTAATAACATGTTTTTTAGTTTACAGTCTCAGTGTTTTCCGACACAATCCTTTTCTAAATCAGAACAAAACGATTTTTCCTATACGAATCGATAGATTTTGCGCCACCAGTACTGTTAATGTGCAAATCCATCTATCGTATCAGGTTGAATTTACAAGCGCTTAGTACCATAATCCGACATTTAACACGACCCGCCACATCGATATACGTCTAATACGTCAAGTCAACAATTGCGAGGAATTATGTTGCAAACACTTCTAGTCATGAATAAACTCTGGATATTGCCCGGAATACACCCCATTATTACCAACAACAATTAAACAAGATATATTGTCCAAATAATTCTAGACTTATTCAAACTATCCGCTGTTTTAAATGCTAATAATATGCTTAAATAATAGGATATCAATAAAGCAAAAATACGCTTTTTTTTATTTCAGTATGAATGGCAATGTTAATAAATTATTTGAATCACTGATTGTAGAAAGAATACAAGTCAAGTGATGTTAGTTTTGAGAACTTGTATTTCTTTAAAAATAAGCCCGAGTCCATCTATGAAAAATATAAGCATAATCATTTCTAATAGTATTTTAAAACATTCGCTTTGAATACTTAAGAGTTAGTGACTTTTGAAGTTAAGTAACTTGTACCCTTTCTGCAATCAACTGTACGAATTTAAAAAGACAAATAAATAACTTATAAAATATTCCATTAATTAAAAATTACAGGTAAAAACCAACAAATACAAGAAAAATTACAATGTCTTGTTTAGTTTTTCTTAATTGATATCCTCTACGATTACCCAAAGCACTTATTTATTAGAAGATTTGTGTTTGGCGAGAATTAGCTAACACCGGCCGATACAAGAGAAGCACCTCTTAGCGACGTTGTCAACTACATTAAGTCTGTAGTCTGGTTCATGAGATAGAAGATGAAGGATGTACAATGCGCCTAGTGAGGCCTAAGTGCCGTGGGTTAACCATGTAGAAAAGAAGGGTTAACAAGATAAAGTAGGGAGAAAATTTAATTACTGGGACCGAGAACAGTTTCCACTGATGTAAGGAAGGAATGGTAATAATATAATTCCAATACCAATACCAATTAAAAATTGGTTTCTTAGCAACCCCAAGTTCGAATCCTCAGTTTCAGAGCGATGTTGAAAGTGGATCCAGAAAATAATCTTTGGAATGTTAAATTTGAATTATGTCGAATCAATTTAACAATGAAATCTTACGAGGAATGTTCAGTAAATATCAAAAAGCTTTTTACTTTTCGATCGTAAGACTTTTCGTAAAAAAACAATTAGACAGGTACTGAAAAACCTGAGAAGCAAGCAATTAGATATACATTTTTAAGGATTTCAGGATGTTGCTTTCAAATAAAACAAGATCTACAAAAGGAAATGTTTTTTTTTTGAAGATCGAGAATATTTTAATTATAATTAGAACAAATCTATTACTAGTTTTGTTGTATTGTCCCAATTCATTTTTTATTTTGTATTTGCTTGTTATTTTTGCTTTGAAATGAACTCAAATGTTTGGGGTCTATACGATATCTGACCGAGGTCTTCTGTAATGAACTTTACCCTCTAATCAGATAAAATCAAAAAAGTAAATATGAATAGTTATTCAAATGATACCCTCCCTACTTTATTAGTACATAGAATATACGTTATTTCTAGTCATAAATCGTTTCTGTTTTTTATAATAGGACTTCATGCAAGTACATCTTCAGAGATAGATAGTTGAGCCAAATTTTAACAGCCAATAACTCTCTCAGAATAGGAGCTCCTCCATTTGTCTACCATATTACTTTTATGCTATTCGTCACGAGGTATTTACGGACGTTTATCGTTGTTTCTGTTTCATCTTACGTTCATTACGAACCAGCCTGAGTATATTAAGTATCTCTTGTGGTCGCATTGTTGCCGCGACCGTCTCCTCACTATTTATTTCCAGTGGCGCTGTACGATATGTTTCTGAGGAGTTACAATTAACAATGAGTGTCTCCCAGGGTTCTATTGTGGAGCCCATACTTTTCCTATATCCTACACGGTTTACGCGGATGACGTATAGATTGTTACCTAGGCCAAAAATACGGAAAACCTTTAAATATAATGTGAAAAATTAATGAGAAAAGAAACTAAACTGAAATATTTAGGTTACATAACCCTCAGAATAAAATAGAGGATATTCGTTTTTCTATAAATGATAAAATCATTGTCAATAATCAAAACAGTGAAATTTCGTTTCATCAATTTAAAAAATATACTTACTGTAAGTGGATTTCTAGATTGAGGTGGGGTATCTGTTTCTAGGAAGAAACTACTAGAGTCAGTAATGTTTTTACTTATATAGTCTTGAGCCAGTCATCCAAGAAGTGACTGAGCTGCAAGCACTTTTATATGCACCATTGTTCATACAACTGCTTTGAAATTTTTAATCAGATTAAGCATAAACATACCACCCATTTTTATTCTTGTTTTTTTAGAATCAATATCCCTTCATCCCCTTATATTTTTACTAAATGTTTCAAGATGATATCATTTTTGCCATTATTGCCATCATTATTGCCATTTTTTTGTTAAAATCTCCCCCTTGAAAATTTAATATCGGAAATCCATTTTTTTTTATTTTTTTTTTTTTTTTATTTAGTTTTAAGACCTAGTTTTACAGCCTAATTTTACAATTTTGTCTGACAACAAAGTTTTACAGCCTAATTTTACAACCCAGCTTCTACAATCCAATTTTTCAATCTAGTTTTACAACCGACAGAAAATAATGCAAGTAGATCCATATTTAAACGTAATTTTTAATTCTGATCAACTTTTTTTAGTAACATTTTTCGATATTGTCAAATTTAAAGGTACTTTACTCTTGAGTAAAACTCATATTTTTTGACAAACCTCGTATACCACTGAAAAAATTTGATATTTGATGACTGTATTCTAGGTTTTGG